AAAGAATGAATAAACATAAAATTGTCCTAAAATAATTGTCGGACTTTGTACATTTCATAATGTATATGTGTGTGTGTGTGTTTCATTGAATAATATAGACATAGTATGTCTCTCTATTTTTATACTGATCCTTTCCAATTCTCTAATCAGTTTCTTGATATTGATGAATTTATCAAAGAAACACCCTTATTTTTCACATTTTATTTTTACTTTTATATGTTTGTAATACCTCACTATTTATTTAGCTTCATCAGAAATTTTGGAAAGGCAACCTTTCGGGGTTATAATTCAGTTTTTAATTTATTTTTTTAATTGTTGCGTAGAGGTCCTGTGTATTTTGGAGTTAGTGTTAAAGTCTCCTCGACAAAAACTAAAGACAAAACGAACAAAAATATAGAAAAAAAACAAGTCGAAGAAAAAGAAATAAATACAAGACAAAACAAAAAGAAGAAAGAACGACAAGACATGACAAAAGAAAAAAAAAGAAAAAGACTATAGAACTATGACAAGTCTTTCTTGATTTTTCTTTCACCCTGCCATGTCACTGCACGACTTCTTTTCTGGAGTTTAGCAATATTTTAATTTTTTTTGTTTGGATCAGTTGCGTAGATGTCTCCGTGTATATTGGAGTTAATGTTAATATGTACCGATAAAAGAAAGAAACAAAGAAAGAAACAAAGTGAAAGAGAACAAAAGATAGAAAAGCGAAAAAAAAAAAGAAAGTAATGCTTACAGACCAAACGAAAGAAAGAAAAAAGATCGAAAGAAAGAGAAGGCGAATAAAAGAAAGAAAGAAATACAGACGGACAAGACGAAAAGAAAAAAAGATTGAAAAAAAGAAAGGTGGAAAAAAGAAAGAAAGATATACAGACGGACAAGACGAAAAGAAAAAAGAAGGAAAGAAAAACAGGTCGAAAAAATAAATAAATAAATAATGACAGACAAGACGAAAAAAAGATTGAAAGAAAGACAAGCTAAAAAAAGAAAAGAAATACTAATGAACAAGCCGAAAATGAAAAAAAAACACAAGAAGGAAGAAAGAAAAATCTATTGAACTGTAACAGATCTCTCTTGTTCTCTCTCTCTCTCTCTCTTTCTCTCTCTCTCTCTCTCTCTCTCTCGCTCTCTCTCTCTCTTTCTGTGTATCATGTCACTCCACAACATAAGCAATCATGGTTCTCCACATCTTCTTTTCTTCCTTTCAGCAATTCTTGAAAGCTGTCTGGCTGTATTGATAAGCTAATAAAACGCTTTTTTTCAGTAAATTGAAAAAAAAAAAAATAAAACGAGGTAAATTTGGTGAGTGACTAATTGGGGATCACCACGTATTTCTTTACGCCTCTATGTCTTTTCAGGCCGTCACATTTGATCGCTTTCACCAGATTTCGATGCAAACCAATTCATCGCTTTCACTGGGCCTGTTGATAGAGAATTACTGGCTGGGCCTGCAAGAGTGTAAATAAACGATGCGTTGGATGTTGTAAGGCAATAGTTGGGACCAGACGTTAACGGGGATAGTTTGGCGGGAAAGAAGAAAGTGGGGCAATTTTAGCAAAGGAAAGAAAAATCTGGGTCGGAACGAAAAGTGAGAAATGAATGTTAGTGGATGAAAAGTAAACGTTAGGCAGAAACGATAAAACAAATTATAAAGAATGAATGAAACAAAGCCCCCCCCCTCAAAAAATGAAAACAGAATAAAAGAATGAAATAATGAATAAAGTGAAGAATGAAAGACAATGAAAACTAAAGACTGGAATGATAAATAAATGAATGAAAGAATAGTTGAAGGAAAGATTTACAAAAGAATGAGACCAAAATGATAAGACTAAGAATGGTAAGAAGGAATAAAAGCAGAAATGGTTGGATAAAACTGTAGGGACCTCCATTTTTTTCGGCAAAATTTCCGATACCTAACTTTAAAATAAATTTTTAAAATGAAAAAAATGGATGCTTGAAGATTTCATTTTAGCTTTAATTGAAAGTTTAATCATTAAATTTATTATTTCCATTAATTAAACAATTCTGGTGTATTTCAGATAGAAACTATATACATTGGAATGTCAAATTTAATTTTAAAATTTTAAATTTTCTTAATTCCGGCAATTTTCTTAATTTTACGAAATTTGTAAACAAATACAAATTTATCGATTTTAAAAATATTTAAAAAAAGTTTCTGACACGTTATTTTAGTAAAATTAGAAAAATTTAATGTTAAAATAATCTGATTTAAAAGAAATAAAATTTAATATCTAGCATAAAAAAGTAATATACAACCAATTATTAACGATTGGTGCTGTTATTTTTATCCAATATTTGATCTAGTTAATCTTTTAATTGAGATTTTTGAAAAAAGCTACTACGGATGACCATAAATGAAAATTATAAAAAATCTGAGTAAAATCTTTTTTTTAAAAGTAAATAAAAGGAAAAAATAATTTCTTTTATAATAATGGCAATTTCAGTCTACTTAAAGGAAATACATGGAAATACGGAACGGTATATTATTAATTAAAAAAATACAACAAAAAAAATTAAATTTGAAAAAAAAAATTAGCACCACTAAGTTTATTAAACTTTGCAATTTGAACTCGTAAATTTTTTTCTACTTAATTACTAATTATCACAAGGAAATAGCCTAATACAGAATTTTGCACGATTTTTAAACTATTATAAATTATTATAATTAAAATGTAAAAAAATGAAAAAATTCTTGTAAAATTTAATTATTCATCAGAAAAAAATTATTTCTTCAGACAATAACCTTAATATTACATATTTACAAAAGCAATTAAAAGCTTTTTATAATTAATAATATCATAGATTTATTGATTCATTATTTTTCAATTCAGAGCAGATTTTTAGTTAATTAGCGCAAATTTGAAAAAAAAAAAGTAGGTGATTTACCATCTCTAATGACTCTTACTTTAAAAAAAAAATTGTCAGGAAATAAAAAGGTTTTGAACGAAATTTCAGGAAAATAATAAAACTGGGGTGTTAATATATAAAAAAAATATTTTTAAAAAAAATTTTCTAGAAAAAAAATATTTAAAAAATAATTTCATTCATTTGTGAATAAGTCCTGAAAATTTCATTAAAATCGGACAATTATTTGATTTTTACAAGAATTTCCAAATCAATGTTTTCAACGGAAAAAAAAAAAAAAAAAACAATGTTATTTTAAAGCACCGCGATGACGTAAACAAAAGAAGATTTTAACCAAAATTTCGAACGTTTTAGAAAATAATAAAAATTTAAAAAAATAATTAAAAAATACTTTGGTCATTCATCTTAATATTAACATAAGCATTTTTACGATAAAACTTGATTTGCATTAAGTTTGTGGCATTTTTGACACGCTATGCCGTTTCCCGCGAAAAAGTGGAGGTGCCTAGATAAAAGAAACAACGAAGAATGAAATAAAGAAAATGAAAAAAAAAAAAAGAAACATGATTGAACGAATTAAAGCATAAATAAATGTCTAAAAGCAAAAAACGAAGAATGAATAAAAGAAAAGAAAAAAAAAATGAAACATGAATAAATATCATAGGACCACATCTTGAACTTACGATCTGCATAGATGTATAGTTTATTAGAATGATTGACAAAACATCGGCTACTTGCCTTTATAAAATGGTAAATAATAAGGATTTCCTTATAGCTGGTTCATATATTCCAATAATTTATTTAAAAATATATTATTAAATATAACAGACAATAGATGTCTATTATGTTTGACTAGCAGCATGGCCCGGCGTTGCCCGTGCTTGATTCAAAAATCGTACGACTCATACAGCAATCGCTATCACTTGACTTAAAATATTTTTTGCCCTTCCTATTTTTTAAAGGAGTTATTTAGCCGTGCTGATGTTTGCTACATAGCTTACTTTTTGCCTATCTCACACTGCGAATTTTTTCTAAGCTCTATACTAAACATTAAATCTGTTACGAAAAAAGAACTAAACAAAATGAACGCAAAAACAAACAAACAAAAAAAGCACGGATGGCCATGATTGAATAAGGAATAAATAGAAAACGCTTATAAATTTAATATGCATTGTGAGACCGGAACTACATACACAATAGACTCTTCCAGGTCTATATTAAGTATGCGACACGGCACTCTTGACAGAGACAGAGAGAGACAGTGAGAGCCGCGTACGACTACCAATATTGGACACTAACATATAGTAAGCTCCGCTTACACTATCTCTGTAACCTGTTGTTAATATATCTTTCTTACATCTAATCCGTGTTCCGTGTTTTTTCCTTCTGTGGTTAAAAAATTCAAACATTAATATGTTTATTTTTTATTTCAGTTTCATCAGAATTTTTAAGGAATGGGGGGATTGAATTATGGAAAAGTATGTTCTGGAAACATTTGGGTTCTGTGTTACTTGTTTTTCATTGGTCAGACAGACCTCACGTGTCTTTGTCCTGTGGTGTCAACCCATGTGTATATTCGCGCGCAGGTGCGTCCCGATACTAGTGGGCATTTTTTTTGTGTTAGTCTGGTAGTGTGTTTAATTCCCGAAAATGGCAGAGAGATGATGACGTGTCTGTATGTTTGTGTCTCATATTTCTAGTTGGTTTCCTTGTTGGAATTGATAGGATCGATACGTGTGTTGATAGTTGGTTTTGATGTGCATGCTATCAATTCGGGGGTAAATTCTATGATTGATTAAAAAATCATGTGCATCGTGAAATTCGGAGGCTTGTGTGCGTGGTGTGGCTGCGTGCTTGTATAATTTTATTATAGATATTATTGTTGTTATTATTATGTATGTCTTTTGAGTGTATCAGGTGATGTCTGCTGTTTGTTATAGAGAAAGATTTATGTCACACCGTTACACACACACACACGTACACATACACACACACGTACACATGCATACATACATATATACATACATACCTATACACATGGTTTTGTACTATCCGTTGTTCCAGGCAACAGCTGATTGTTTTCAAACATATGTTTTGTGAACAAGTGGGGACATTTATTAAATCATTTCAAAAAGAAAAATTGGAGGGGGAAGTAGATAAGTAAAGGAAAGTAGGAGCGAACTATATAGAGAGAAAGGGTGAGAATCAAGGAGAGAGAGAGAGGAGAAAAAGGAAAGGGAATGATAGAGAGGGCAAATATATGAAAGGCGAATGAATGAAGAGGAGAGAGAAAGGAAGGAAGAAGGAAGAGGAAGAAGGAAAGAAAAAAGAAGGAAGAGGCGGAAAGGAAGGAAGGAAAAGGAAGGAAAGGAAGGAAGAAAGGAAAAAAAAAGAAGGAAAGAGGGGGAAGGAAGGAAGGAAGGAAGAAGGAAGGAAAGGAAGGAAGGAAGGAAGGAAGAAAGGAAGAAGGAAAGAAGGAAGAAAGAAAGAAAGAAGGAAGGAAGGAAAAGAAGAAGGAAAAAGAAAGAAAGGAAAGGAAGGAAGAAAGGAAGAAAAAAGGAAGGAAGAAGAAAGGAAGAAAGGAAGGAAGAAGGAAGAGGAAAAAGAAAGAAAGAAAAAAAAAAGGAAGGAAGGAAGGAAAAGGAGAAAGGAAGGAAGGAAGAAGGAAAGGAAGGAAGGAAGGAAGGAAGGAAGGAAGGAAGGAAGGAAGGAAGGAAGGAAGGAAGGAAGGAAGGAAGAAAGAAAAAGGAAAAGGAAAAGGAAGAAAGAAAGGAAGGAAGATTTGAAGAAGGAAGAAAAAAGAAGGAAGAAGGAAAGGACGGAAAGGAAAAAAGGAAGGAAGGAAGGAAGGAAGGAAGGAAGGAAAGAAAGAAGAAAGGAAGGAAGGAAAGAAAGAAAGAAAGAAAAAAAGAAGGAAAGGAAGGAAGGAAGAAAGGTTGAAAAAAGAAAGGAGGAAGGAAGAAAAGAAAAGAAGGAAAGGAAGAAAGGAAGGAAGGAAGAAGAAAGGAAAGAAGGAAAGGAAGGAAGAAAAGAAGGAAGAAAAGGAAGGAAGGAAAAGAAAAAAAGAAAAGAAAAAAAAAAAGGAAGGAAGAAAGAAGGAAAAAAGGAGAAAAAAAAAAAGAAAGAAAAAGGAAGAGGAGGAAAGAAGAAAAAATAGGAAGGACTTCAAAAAAAAGGAAGGAGGAGGAAAAGGAAGTAAAAAAAAGGTAGGAAGGAAAGGTAGTCAATAAAGTGGGAAGGCACAAAGGAAGGCAGAAAGAAAAGAAAAGCAAGCAAGAAAGAAGGAAGGTAAGGAAGGAGTGATGGAAGGAAAGGGTGAAAAAAGAAAAGGAAGAGTATGAAATATAAATGAACAAGCCAAAAAGTGACGTATTTCTGGAGGGGGAATGAAAAACAAAGAAAAATGTAAAAATTAAATTCATAGAAATATATGGATATGGTTGATTTTACAAGCACGTGAGGATATTGAGAACTAATATGATGACTATTAGTTAATCACTTAACATCATCATCATTTTCGTCCTTAAATCTTTTAACATCATCACCATCATTCTGAACATCTTTATCTTTAGTTTTTCATTTACGATCATCATCATCGTCATCAGGACTATTAGTGATTCCCTTAACATCATCATCATTTTCGTCATTAAATCTTCTTTTGACATCATCACCATCTTTCTGAACATATTCATCTTTAGGTCTTCACTTAACATGATGATGATCATCATCATCATCTTCGTCAAGATGACCTTTCTTACTTTTAAATGATTATCATTTATCAAGTGTCTTTTCATACTTCTCTAAACATCATCTTCATAAATATATTTCCTTCTACATCTCTGAAGTCCGTATCAGTCAATGGAGTATTCCTTCACCCTTAGTAACAACGCCGTTGTTTTTGTTTCACTATTGTTAATGTTTTCACGACAGCGTCTGTTAAACCATTGTCCTCAACACGAGGTTCATGCTATTTCTTACCTCGTTCTTCCATCAACGACATCTTCATTAACATCATAACCCCTGATAACCAGTCCGCCGCCAACATCTTCGGCATTAACAGGAATGATTCTCCCTCCTTGCCGTCCTTAGTGTCATCCGTTTTTCATCCTCACCCGCTCTACCCGGAACCTTGCCTCACATCCCTTACCCTGCAAACAGTAGATAACCATCTGACGTCTGACCCCTCGAATTTAGAACCTAGACTCCTCATTGTACACCTAAAATGAAAGGGGGGGGAACATGCCAGCTCGTCTAGTAAAAAAAAAAAAAAATCTGTCTGATTACAATCTTTTCTTTTCCTTTTTTATTTCCTTGACTTTTCGGTGACGGACAATGTATGTACATAAGTAATAAAATAAAATGAAAACAAGAGAAAATAAAATAAAAAAAATAAAATAATGATAAAAACCTTAAAATAAATAAAAGTAATTCCGAGAAACATAAGTTGGCAGTTAATATTAGATCTTTGCAAAAGTTCCAGCGGATTAAAAAATTAAAACAAAAATTACATATACACTCAAAATAAATTATTAATTAAGTACATAGTCTCCATTGTTTTTGACAATTTTCTCCCATCGTTCTACAATAGTGTTGGCGCCATTTTGGTAGAAACGTGTTTGTTTTTTTGAGTTTTTTTTTGTTGAAACAAGGTCAAATAGTTTTCGACGGACTGTCAGTCATTTATATGTCATGCATGATAGCCGTTTAAGCGAGCATGTATCTTTCGATACATGCAGTAGGTTGCCATTTCTTTCTGCGGTAGACCAGTTGCCATCCAAAGCTGTAGAATCCGGTCTGTTCTGATATTTACTCATAGCTAGGGGGTGGAGAAGAAGAGGATTCATACCTTTCCCAACGTAAGTGAATGTAATGGATCCGACTGGAATTCGAACTCGGCTCTCCGATTCCTCAATCCGAGCCGCTATCTATTATTCCACCGTGCCTCATCTACTGATTGGCTGCACAAAACCATTTTTTTTAAATTTAAATTGTTCTGTAGAGACCGGAAAAAAATATGAAAATCCGAAGGATGCAAGTAAGGAGAATACGTTGGTTGTTTTGGAGGTTTTCCTATTTCAACTCTTTTAGCTTTTACTTTGAAACATGTGGTCTTGCGTTGTCTTGGTAGGAAATGCCACTTTTCCGATAGGCCGTTTTTCTTCAACCTAAGTCTCTTCCAATGACGAATGTCAGTTGAGTTATTAATTTTCAAAATATTAGCAATCTAATCCGTCGTTATATCTCCACGATGGAAAACGGGATCACCATCAACTTCGGAAGGGATCACCCGGAGTGTCTTTGATAATTTATGTGAAAATCACCCTAACGAAATCTGTCCATCCAATTTTTTTAACTGTCCGAAGAACTGGAGTACGATCCAAATAAACCTTCTGATTTTTGTTTATCACAATTCCGACGCTTAATCCATTCTGAAATTCACAGAGCATAATATGGCGAAAGTGCCACTTTACATCGTCCATCTTGAAGGCATTCATTTGTAGAGAAACTTCAACATTCAACAAAGTCAGGCTCGCAACTGAATGATGCAAGTTTTCCGCAGAAATTGGCATCAGAACAAAAGACAGTATCAAGTTGAGGACATTTTATATTAGCAATGAAAATCGGGTACAAACTTTTGCGAAGATTTGATCTATTTCTCTCGGATCTAAGCTAAAGTAAATGCATCGGTCCAATTTGAAATAATCTTTCAATAGATGCAAACAGGAAGTGTAATATTTATAATGTTTTAGACGGGAATAGTTTCCATTTGCAAAACATTGGTGGTTAGCTGCCAATTCACAAGAGATGATTATAAAGGAAGACAAAGGCAAGTTCATATTTTATCGCAAAATTTTAATCAACATTTTAAAATGAGAAAGATCAAATCCAGAAACAATCAATAAATCAAAACAGAAGGCTTGACATTCCATGTAAATTTACTTTTGTTTCTATGTCCGTCTGTCAGCTGTATGAATGAATAACATGCTCATTTGAAGATGTATTCGTCTGTTCAGAGGGTAGACTAATTAATATTTATATGAGAACGTTAGCAGCGGGAAGGCGCAACGAGTCACTTTCTTGGAGGTTAGCATCAGCCATGCGGATAGAAGACAGAGACGGGCATAGTTTTCATTTGCGAAAATTTGGTGGTTATTTTTATAGAAAAGACACAGGGAGGCAAACTTATGGCGGTGTGAAAGTGATGGAAGCCGAGCAGCCAGACAGAACAGGGTTGAAAATCGTCTGCGAAATAACTCCACAACAATTCCACAAGCGAGTAGTGCGAGAGAAGAAGAATAGAGCTTACGGTCGCATCTAGCCAATTCAACTTTGAATCGGTGAGACCTCACCGGCAATCAAGTACTGCGCTTAAATTAACGTAAATGTCAATTTACCATACCGGAAAATTTCACCAGAACAATTATCTTGAAAGTATCTACAGAAAACGCACAGGGTAGCTATATTACTGCGGTTGGGATGTAAAAATCTGACACGAAAATTTTAAATGATGCCTTTCCAAACCAGAGATCAGGTGAGTGAATCAGCAACCCCGGACTGATATGACAGCATCGATCATAGGGATAACTCCAGGAGCCTTGGCCTCGTTTCTTACATGTGAATTAGTTTGTATATTTTCTCAAGAGGCCTCCTCTGTAAATGATTTTAACAAAACAATACAGAACCAAGTATACAAGTTGAAACTTTATGGAATATTTATTCAATAAAATAGGAATAAAATAATAAGTCTCGTTATGGAAATAGGAGCTCAATACAGACCCGCAGGAGAGGAGCGCTTCCTGTTGAAGCTATAAAGCTACGCCCTAAGCGAAAGAAAAGGGAAGAGAAGGTTTCTATTTTTTCATAAAGACACCCGTTGTGAATGTTACTAGAACAGTTGTAACTGTGTCTACGTGTTTTCGGTAATCGCCAATCGTTTGTATTGTAGTCTAAGATACACGTGTAGGCAGTGTAATAAAATAATTACAGTCATTCAAAACTGTATTCTTTGGAGAGAACTTTCAGATGCTAATGCGCAAATTGCTGATAGCTGAGAGGATGAAAATCTGCGAATTCATATGAGAAGTCATTTCCAAAGACGAAGCCATATAAAGACTTTTTTTTTTTTAAATTTTACCCTAATCAAGGTGTGAGTGCGACCAGCACGCAAGGGGTTACAGAGAGTGAGAGCAAGAGTAAAGAGGCGTGATAGAAGAAAGGATGAAGAGAAGGACGGGGAATTAGATCAAGGCATCTAGAGATGTCGATTGACATTGCATTTGAATAATTGAAGATTATAGCTAACACGGAAGCATTTAAAAGGAAGAGGGTTCCACAGATGGGAAGTGCAAGACATGAATCTATTGGAGTAGAAGAGACGGCTACATTTGACCGTTTCGACAGTGAAAGGGTGGGACCGAAATGCCAACCTAGTAGCACGTTTAAATTCATGTATTTTGGGAACTAGCGAAAGTAGCTCGTCGGAGCAGTTATCGTGAAAGTATTTGTAGAAAAGATAGAGGGAGGCGACGGCACGTCTTTGAGAGAACGACTGTAAACGAGATGCCAGATCAGAGCCAATCACATTGCATATCCGTCTCTGGATTTTTTCAAGGACCTTGAGACGAACAGTGGCGGCTCCAGACCATATAAAGCAGCAGTTTTCCATGCAAGAGTGAATGGTTGGTTTTTATTGGCTGATTTTAGAATATCAAAATTTACCGTCGATTCTGATGAAAAGAAGCGCTAATTTGAAACTACATTATTACTTGCTTTTACCTCAGTTTTTATTTCAGGACATGGGCGATCATGGTCCTCCTCAAGTTTGAGCAGTCATTTTTTTTTTAATATAACCTTCCGCTTCCTACTTTGCCATCCATTTACCCAAGTTCTCAAAGTTGGTTACTCACTGACTACTTCCGTACCTCTTGCCTACAATATGTCCCGTAAGTGTTAAATTTTCCAAACTTTCTTTCCTCATTTTGTGTCACAGAGATTTCGACTGCGTTTTTCTGGTTCTAATTATAAAGCGTCCTTTTTGTTTCACTTTTTCTTAAAACATCACTGCTTACATGCTCCGTCCATGTTATTCTCAACATCCTGCTGTAGTATCATATCCTTTGCTTCACGTCTCTTCTTTCCTTAGTGAGTATGAAACCAAAACGCAATTGCTGTTGTTCACAGGTCTACCCTGACCCGGGTTGGCATCACATGTTAGGATCCCAACTATGCATATAGTTAACAACACCCAGACTGAGGTCAAAACATTATAAAAGTATAAATATACATTTTTATAGTAAAAATACCAGCAATAAATTTTCATAGTAAGAAAATTACCATTGATGTAAAAAAAAATTACCAGCAGTACATTTTTGAAAAAGAAATTACTGTTTCCCCCCAAATTAAATTTCGGCATTAAATGAAC